TATATGTCTTTATTTATTTATAGCGAAGTGTATAATTTTTGTTCTAGATTATGGTACCATTTAAAGGGTCTAAATTATAATTGTTCATTGCTAGTATATAGAGAGATTATTTATGGTTTGCTGCCCATCCCTCAGGGATCACTCTTTCAATGCCTGATTTCTGGTAACCTGTAAGCTATTGTTTCCTATATTTTGGCAGGTTTTTTTTTTTTTTTTCATTATTTCAGGTGGGAAGATAAATTAGTTTCCTGTAACATCATCTTGGCTGGAAATGTACAACATACACACTAGGTGGTGGCTCTAAAATTGGCAAGTGTTTATTAGCATTCAGAGAGCTGTTTTCTTTTGAGCTAGGTACCCTTCCCCCACTTCAATACTGGGCTGCCTCAGGGAACTTTCTCAAGTGCCTCCTCAAGTACAAAATGTACAGACTTAAATTCTAGGGGAGAAGCTGCCCGTATAGATTGTTCAGTGATTTAAATTCCTGTGTCTGAAAGTGGCCTGACTAGATGGAAATAAGACTTGCTAGAAGAACATAGCCCTCATTTCTGATTTAGCAGTCCTTTTCTGCTCTGTAGTACTGAATTTTCTCCCTTTTCCCCCAAACTCTTAACCTTTTTTCACCTATCAATTCCCTTCACTATTTTCAAAACTTTCCTTTCTTGCTCCCCAAATTCTCTTCTGCTTCTCAGTTTCTCCCACAGCCAAACCAAAACTTTATTGAATCTCAGGGGTTGAAGCTACTTCTTTCTTTATGGACCTAAAAGTCTTTCCATTCTTCTGGATATACTTTTGGATACTATGTGACATTACCAAATGATACAAAATTTCCCCAAACTTTTACTCTCTTTATTCTTTTACTTACTCTTTTAGTCTTGTCATTGTTCCCCTCCCATATATATGTGAAAGGAGGAAGGGCAAGGAGAAACCAGTACTCAGATAGCCTTATATGATGAAATATTAAGTTGGTTTTTATATCCCACTTTTGATGTCCCTTCTTAATCTAGTGTGTGGGACAGTGGGGGGCGGGGTGGGAGAGAGAGGGAAGGAGGGGAAAGAGAGAGATTGAGAACTCCATAAGCCTGAAAGCCTCAGGATTGGAGCAGTGTATGAGAATCAGGTTGCACATTTTACATTTCTACTTGGGGAAATGGGGGCTTCCTGATGTTCCTCTCCTTTAATCTACACTGAAGGTTGAATTGACAACTTCTTTTTAGGGAAATTTGCTGTCTACCTTAAACGAGGAAATTTAGGTTGAAGATGAAAGGGGAAGAAAAACACTATTTTATGTACTAGCATTGCTCACACTGAACAATATATGTGTAATTACAGTACTTTGTTTTGAGGCCGTATGATTTTTTTATTTCCTATTTTAGTTATGGTATGTGTTTTTTGGCAAGGTGTTTATATTGTTTGTGGGTATTAGATATTTGGGATTTTTTGGAAGGGAAATTTTTAATTGTGGTCAAATATATATAACATAAATTTTAACCCTTTTTTAAGTATAAAATATGATGGCATTAAGTATATTCACATTGTTGTGCATCCATTACTACTATCTATCTCCATGACTTTTTAATCATTCTAAAGTGAAACTCTATTTGCATTAAACAGCAACTCTTCATTATCCCCTCACCCCCAGCCCTTGGTAACTTCTATTCTATTTTCTATCTCTATGAATTTGCCTATATTGGTACCTCACACAAATGGAATCATACATGATTTGTCCTTTTGTGTCTGGCTTCTTTCACTTAGCATAATATCTCCCAGGACCATCCTTGTTATAGCATGTGTCAGAATTTCCTGCCTTTTTAAGGCAGAATATTCCATTGTATTATATACTACATTTTATATGTATATCCATTTATCTGCCATGGACACTTGAATTGTTTTCACCTTTTGGGTATTGTGAGCAATACTGTTATGAATATGGGTGTACAAATATCTGTTCTAGTTTCTGCTTTCAGTTGTTTTGGGTATAAATCCAGGATTGGAACCTCTGGATCATATGGTAATTCTTTTTTTTTTTTTTAAGACTGCCATACCAGGGCGCCTGGGTGGCTCAGTCGTTAAGCGTCTGCCTTCGGCTCAGGTCATGATCCCAGGGTCCTGGGATCGAGTCCCACATCGGGCTCCCTGCTCGGCGGGAAGCCTGCTTCTCCCTCTGACCCTCTTTCTGCTTGTGTTCCTGCTCTCGCTGTCTCTCTCTCTCTGTCAAATAAATAAGTAAAATCTGTGAAAAAGACTGCCATACTATTTTTCATAGCAGCTCCACCATTTTACAATCCCACTAGCAATGCACAAAGGTTCTGATTTCTCCACATCCTGTCAACACTTGTTATTTTCTGGTTTGTTTCTGTTTTTTATAGTAGACATCCTAATGGGTGTGAAGTGGTATCTCACTGTGATTTCATTTGCATTTTCCTAATGATTAGTGATCTTGAGAATCTTTTCTTGTGCTTATCGACTGGAAATTTAAAAAAAAATACTTTTTGATTATTTCAGTTTTGATTTATTAATATACAGATGTGGATTTGAGACTTTTGAGTCACTTTAGTCTATTGACTAAATAGAATTGTAGTCTGAATGTTTGGGGACTTGGACCCATCCAGATTAAATGTCCCTCACCTTGGGGCACCAGCGTGGCTCAGTCGTTAAGGGTTAAGCGTCTGCCTTCGGGCTCAGGTCATGGTCCCAGGGTCCTGGGATCGAGCCCCACATCGGGCTCCCTGCTCGGCGGGAAGCCTGCTTCTCCCTCTCCCGCTCCCCCTGTTTGTGTTCCCTCTCTCACTGTCTCTCTCTCTGTCAAATAAATAAATAAAATATTGAAAAATAAATAAATAAATGTCCCTCACCTTATTCTCCCTCCCCATGGCAAGTAATTTAGCCAATTGTGTATTTTATTCAATACATCCATCTCTGTCTCTACAGACTCTTGTAAAACTCATCTCCCTAGCTCTTAAAGTATAACTTGTTTGGGGTGTGTGAATTTCTTTCACCTACTTAACTTTCACAGTCTCTCAGCTTCAGTTTTTAAAGGGGAAGACGGACCCATGGAGGCCTGTGCCTCCAAATGAAAAGATTGGAAAAGATCCTCTCAGCAACAAGAACTCTAGGAAAAGTAGAGAAAATCCAGGGCTGGGAAGGAAAAATTGTACACCTCTAGGCTCTAAGCCTATCTTCTCTCTTGATTCCAGGCAAGGTAAATGGACTGTATGTTATCTAGGAATGGTGGAGAAAATGGGATTTCGGTCCTGCGAATCCTAGCACCGCCTCTAAATTGTCTTCTCTTTTGAGTTTCCTGCATGTTTACTTTGCTTCTTCTGGGGTTTTGGAGTTAAGTTGTAGAACTCTGGACAAAGGACTAGGAAGGTTGGGGCACAGAGGGATGTGGTGGGTGTGTTGGGGGAAGCTTTAGCTTCAGTGGAAAGAAACCCAGTTTTAATATGCCATTTCTAGCAATTTGAAATTCAACAGGAAAATATTGATGAGGTTATCTCTTACTTGAGGAAGAGGAAAAGGGAGGATGGCTTGTTATCCCTCAGGCCTCAAAATCAGCACATTAAATATGCAGTAAAGTAAGGGGATACTCAATCAAAGGAGGGTTAAGAGAAGGACAGCACATGCTAGAAACTCTGCATTGGATGAAAACAACATGTGTGCATTTTGGCAGAGCCACCACCTTCAGCTGTGTGTAGTGCCCTACTTGAAAGAGTGTCATTCACATAGACTAGAATATGATTGTCACCTTTTTGAGTAGAGTAATGCACATTATGTACAATATATGTGGTGGCTATGGCAGCGAGTGTTAGAGCTGCGTACACAGAGCTGACCTCCTTTAAGTCCAAGCACCATCCTCCCACTGCTGGGACTCTCATAAGCAGGGCTTGGAGAGCAAAACCTAGAGACTGAGGACTCCGGGGAAAAGTCACCCATGGAGGTTTTCCAGGGATTTGTATACCTTTATCCAAAGGAGGTGTGCCCACACAGGTGTAAAATTTGTACTGAGGATGTAGCTTTCCCTTCTTGTGCATTCAGAGCTTCTACTTTCTGCAGAACCCATGAACTCTTTATGCCCCGCTGATTCTTCCTAGCAACATTCCGTATGCAACATTTTGCATAATACCCAAAAGCCTTTCCCTTATCTTTTGGGGTTTTCAAATTCCCTCCTGCCTTAGAAGCTTCCTTCTAGACCCAAAACTTCTTTACTGTCTAGGACTGAAGACAAGTCTTTCCTCAGGGGTTTAGATGCACTTCCCTACTTAGAAAAATATATATATTTTCTTCACCAAGTAGGTGAAAGGTATATATAAACATATACATATATCTAAATATTATTTAAAATACATATTTGTGTATATCTATATCAATTCTTTCCGAATTCACCATAACCATAGGTGTTAAGAATGTCCCTAGAATATTTAATTTGGTTAGTTCTTTTACTCTATTTAACATCTTATGTTTTTTTTTATTCTGTGAAAAGATGCAGGGAGAGGACAGTACTTATCTCAGACCTCTTGAGAACGAGGATATGTCACTTGCTCTTTTCCCTTCCACACTTCCTGAGTGGTTCCTTCTTAACGCAAGGTCTTCACAAAGAAAAAGCAAGAGTCATAGAGAAATGGATGGCACTAGACCCCTGGAGATGATCTGCAGGACCAGAAAAGTAACTGGGAAGCAGGTTGTATACACTATAGTGCTGGGAAATGGGGTTGGGGAGCTGCCATTCTGATGCCCCCTTCCAGATGAGTTCCCATAAACCACATCGCATCAGCACATTGAATGGGCAAGTGGTTGTGGAATTTTGCTGTCATCTCAAATCAGTTATATGTCTTACCCCACTCCAAATCTTGGGGGAAATTTAGATTATACCAAGAGGAAGGGAATTCCTCTAATTTATCTCCCAATATTATTATTACATTACTACCTGTATACAACCAGTGTCAAATGCTCAAGAGGTGTGCTTCCCTCTCATGAGCTCTGTGGGTTTCTCCGGGCAGAAAGTCTCACACCCTCAGATTCGTGCCAGGCAGTGACAGTGATGCCATTGCAAATTGTTCTCAATTTGATTCTGTGCTTATTTTTGAAAAGGCATGTGAGTTTATGTGTGAGTGTATGTGTGTTGGTGTTCATAAATTAGTTGATTGGCTCATGTATATATTGCATTGCTTGAATTTGGTTTGAGCTTTCAGATTGTTTTGGTTTAGTAATAATTGCTTATGTGGACTTTGGTACCTGGGTTTATTATTTGTTTATTTCTTTGTTTTGCGATTATTTTATTTGTACTTTTGCTTTTATTTACAGAGTCTGTGTATGTGTTTTTAAAATTTGGTTTTTGCTTTTTTAATTAGTGTTTTTTGTTTCTATTTCAGTGTGCATGACATTTTGGGTTGTTATTATTTGCTTGTATGCTTGAGCATTTTTTAGTTAGAATTTTGGCTTGGTGTTCAGTGAATGTTTGGGTTTTGGACAGGGTGTTATTCTTGCATTATTTACTTTTGGTTCAAGTCTGGGTTCCTTTATTATTTGGTTTTGATTTATGTGTTTTGTTTAATTTGTTCAGAGAGGTCCTTTGGAGTTTTAGCTGTGCTTGTATGTGTGTGTTTAGGTATGCATTTTGCTTGTGTTTTGGGATTTTAAAATTTGTATGATTTTTTTCTTTGGTGGGTTTTGCTATTTTTTCCCCTTTAATATTTTTGTGGGACTCTTTAATTTTTGCTTTGTGGATATTTATGTGTGTGTGTTATATTTGGGGTTTGGTTTGTGCAAGTTGTGGGAGTTCATTTGGGTTTTGTACGGTTTGCCTCAGTATGTACACTCATATGGCTTGATATTTGCCATATGTTTTCTTATCAATATATTCATATGTTGTTTTTGTTTGGGTTTTTGTGGTTGCCTTATTTATTTATTTACTTAATCCTGTTTATTGAGTTTGGCTTATATGATGGAGTGTTGGTGATTTTTTTTTTTAATCTTATTGGTTTTGTTTTATCGTTGATTTATTTGTGCCTTGTTTTTCTGATTTTTTTTTAATTGTTTGTAAAGGTTTTGGTGCGTTGGGGTATGATCTGTTTTGTTAGGGATGGATTGTTTGTTGTTTGTTGAGTTTTTTTAGCTTATATGGTATTTGGTTTTTGAATTGTGTATATGAGTGTGTGTTTGTTATTTGAGAGTTTTTGTATCAAGGGATTGCTTAATTTGGGGGCATGATTTCATTTTTGGCTATTGCAGTCCTTTGCCCTTCCATTTGAAAAGCATTATTAAGGTATTTGGTATGAAATCTACAATTTGATACATTCTAGCGTATTTATGTACTCATGAAATCATCACCACAATCAAAATAGGGAACGTTATCCATTGTCTCCAAAGATTCCTCCTGCCCTGGGTGATCCCTCATTCCTTCTCTTCTCCCTACCACTACATGCCCAGGCAATCATTGAGCTGCTTTCGGTAACTAGAGATTAGATTTTAGTTTCCAGATTTTTATCAGAATGAAATCAGAGTATATACTATTTTTGTCTAATTTATTTCCCTCAATATAATTATTTTGAAATTCACCAATATTGTTAGATAAATCAATAGCTCATTTATTTTTATAGCCAAATAGTATTCAATTATATGGATATTGCACAGGTGTTTTTCGTTTTGTCTTGTTTTTTAATGCATTCATCTTTGATGGGCATTTATCTTCAGTTTGGGGTGATTTGGGCTTTGACTATTAGAAATAAAGTAGCTATGAGCCTTGGTATAAAAATATCTGTATGGAAATATGCTTTCTTTTTGAAAGGCTGGATCATATAATATAGTAGGCATATGTTTGCCTTTTAAAGAGACTAACAAGCTGTTTTTCAAAGTGGTTGTACTGTTTCCCATTCCTCCTTCCAGTTTATGATTTCCAGTTGCTCTGTATCTTTGTCAGCACTTTTTATCACCTGTAGTTTTAATTTTAGCCATTCAGATAGATGCTGATGTTTCATTATGGTTTTAATTGGTATTTCCCTATTCACTAATGATGTAGAGCGTATTTTTCATGTGATTAATCCCTGTTCCTATATGTTTTTTGGTGAAGTGCCTATTCCAATCTTTTGTCCATTTGTAATTGTGATTAATTTTCTTATTAATGAGTATTGAGAATTCTTTATAAATTTTGGAAACAAGTCCTTTATCGGATAGGTAATTTACAAATATTTTCTCCCATTCTCTACCATGTGGGTTGCCTTTTATTCTCTTCAACAGTCTCTTTCAAAGATCAGAACTTGATTCCAAAGAGGCCCACTTTTTCAGTTTGCTCTATTATGGATCATGCCTTTGATGTCATATCTAAGAAATCTTTCCCTAACCAAAACGGACAAAACTGAAGAGGGCTTCCACCAGAACTTGACCATGCTAGCACCCTGTTCAGATTTCCATGCTCCAGAACTATGACCAATAAATTTCTGTTGTTTACAAGCCACTCAGTCTATGGTACTTTGTTATAGCAACTCGAACTGACTAAGACAGAAAGGATAAGTAGGAACTCTGCTACCTCTGTCTTCAGGTATCCAGTCCAGTGAGAGGGTGAGGGCTGGGCTGCGAGTATGAGTCGTGTATTTCTTGTATTCTCCTGTTTACCATTTCTATATTTTGCAACAGCTGCTTTTGACTAAGATAGTCATGAATATCCTATCATTTACTACCTCCCTTTCTCTGTCCTAAAACACTCCCCAGGGATGCATGCGGCAGGGAGATGATATTAGCTACTTCATCATCAGAACTATCCTAGTAGTCATCATGGGCTTTAAACCAGTATTCGCAAAACATTGTCCTCAAAATCAGTGCAAGTCTAAATCTTGTCAATAAAACAGGAGACTTCAGGTTCAGGCAAGGTAGCGTAGATCGAACCCTACACATCTCAGCTTAGTACAACTGTAATGCTGGAAATAACACAAGAGGCAACTAAAGGAAAACTCTGAAAGATGGAAAGAGGAAGGTAAACTGGTTAGGAACTTCAAGACTGGACAATGGCAGAGCTGCAGGTTATCTTGTGGCCCCTTATGGAACAAGAGAAGTCAACCTAGGCATAAGGTTTTCCACCCCCCTACCTAGCAACAGAAGGCAGGCTAAATAGGATCATTGTTGCTCTCCTTTTAGCATTAAGATGAAAGCACGGCCCCATCAGAACTGCCGTGTCCTAATGTGGTTTGTCTCAACTAGTCTAAGATTTTTGTTTTCAGTGATGGATAATTGAACAGAAGAGGCCAAGGGCTTGAGGACGTCTGGGTCTCTGTACTTGACCCAGTCTTCCTCTTCCTTTCAATGAAGAAAAGCGTTACAGCTAGGTATGGATTCCCTCAAGCCCTCCCACTTCCCTATCCACAAGAACTTGAGATTCTGGTTGCTCATCTCTCAAAGTCCTATGTATTTTTGGAAATTCTTTACCCCAAACTTCACTCTGAGTGTGCCCATTTGCATGTTGTCATGACATTTGAAAACACCTAGAGAGACAGAAGGGAAAGGTGGGAAAAATGCTCTCAGCAAACAGGTCTCACATGAAAGCCTCAGAAATTCTGTTTTGTTAACCATTTCTGTTTGTTTGTACAGGCTGATTTTTTTCCACCATCTGAGGAAGAAGTGGGCTTTCTGACCTCACCATGCTGGCACCTAAATGCCCACTCTTCTCCCTAAGGAGTTTCTTGTGTTTCCTCACTGGCTCTTCTGTGGGTTGGAGTTTAGGTAGATAACCCTGAAAGAGGCATCAGAGAGTTTGCAGTGCAGGAGCCTGAAGGGCTGAGGTGTTTGACTTTTTACTTAAAGGATTACTTTGGGCCCAGGATGTAATGAGCACTGGGTGTTATATAAGGCTGATAAATCACTGAACTCCACCTCTGAAACTAATAATACACTATATGTTAATTGAATTTAAATAAAAAAATAAATTAAAAAAAGGATTACTTTGGGGGTGGCAAAATAGTTTTTAGTGAACCATCCCTATTATCATTAATAATTAGAAAATCAACAGCACAATGCCAACATAGATTCTTCTTCCTAAGGAAGAGGAGATGGAGGGAGGTTGATTCTCCCTTGCTCCTGAAACCTGGCTCATTAAAGATGCAGTACATGAGGGGATACTCAGAGGATGGAAAAGGAAGAGCGGTGGCATGGAGGTCACAGAGGCACTTTGGTCAAATGTTGGTGTCTATTCAAAGGCTTAAAGGTGCGAAAATGGAATGAAAGCTTCATGAGATAGGCCTTTGAGCAGGGCTGCCACATCCAGCCACTTTATATACAGTGCCCTACTCAAGGTGATGGGATTCACATAACAAAACTATATATTTTGTGTTTTTGAAGTGGGGTAATGTACAACATGTTCATCAACCTGTGGTCGTCCTGGGGTTGGGGTGGAGCTTCAAGTTCAGCCGTCCTCCTCTGAGTAAGGAGCCACCTCCTCAGTGCTGAGCCATTTCAGAGGACTCTCAGCAGCACATCGAGAGAGGCCAGACCCAGCAAAAGAGGTTTCTTGGAAAAGTTTCTCCTCACATACATTCTCTCGGGATTTGCATCCCACTGTTCTGAAAAGGCCTGACCAAACTGGGAAGAATTTTGGAGATGGGTCCCTCTCTGTAGTCTCAGAGTTCCTTCTTTCTGAAGAAATTCCTGTGCTCAAAACTACCACTCTGCTCTCAGCTTTCAAATTTCCTCACAGGAGCCTTCTCCTTCATTTTCTATCCTACCTTAGAATCCTCTTCTGCTGAACTCAGAAGCCCTTGACTCTTTCAGGGATTGAATCTAGCTGTTTTCTCAGGGTCTAGAAGCTCTCTCTTCCCTTAATTATCATTTTACATTTTCTCTGGTCACCATATCAGTCGGAGAGACTAAGATAGTACGTGGAAATTTTCATGCGATAAATATATTTACTTTTTTTTTTAAAGTTTTGTGTAAAGGCATGACAAAATGTGATAATCCACCTCTCAGAACTTTGAAGAATGAGGAAATATTGTGTTGGCTTTTCTCTCTTATTTTCTTTAAATCTAAAAAAAATTGTTTTAGATTCCACATATCAGTGATACCATACAGTATTTGTCTTTCTCTGTCAGGCTTATTTCATTTAGCATAATG